TGTGTAATTTGCATTTGTGTGGATATAAAGGAGATTTTGGGATTCTACAAACTGCAGTTTCTACAAAGAAAAGAAATTGATTTTGATTTTTTCATTAAATTATACAATAAATTTTTTAAATAAAGGTTAACTAAATTAAAATTTAAACAGCCCTTTCTATATATAGTTCGGTATAGTTTGAGTAGAAAACGTAACCAAACTCCAATTTTCCCAAAGCTAACAACCTTTATATGATTTGTATTTTCAACATAGTGGATAAGGCATTAAACAAGAGTGAATAGTCAGCAGAGAGCAACTTGCAAATATCCTAAAACTAGCGCAAAGCCCGGTTTGAAAAATAGGTCTAATATGTGAAATTAATTATTTGATTAGTTTTGCTGTGTATGCACTTGCCTAATTATTCAGACCTTTTATTTGTAGAAAAAAATAAAATTTAAATATTAATTGTCGTAACATCATAATCAATCAATCAACATCAATCCGGTCAACAACATTTTTATACATTCAAAATGAATAATGATAATATGATAAAGCTATGTTATTATCAATATTATTTATGCAGACATACAAAATTAATATTAAAGTTCGCGTGTTGGTCTTGATCAATAATATCTATACTTTAAGGACACGTGTCCTTCTGTCTAATTCATGCAACTAAACAAGGCCAATATACCCAGAATTACAACTACAATACATTCATTTCAGTATATAACAAAGTAAGTAATAACTGATACTTTAACTAGCTATGAATTATAAAATATTCATGGGGTGTTAAATATTTTATAGACACTTAAAGTTTTGATGTACCAATGCAAATATGATTTACAAATTTGTAACCATCGAAGAAAGCAATAAAACTCCCCTTGAGGCTGCACAACAAATTGAATAACCCTTGAAAATGTGGTTTGATTTGGGTTTGAGTTCGAGTTGTGTTGTAACACATTCCCCGAAGGGTGAAATTACAAATATTTCTCGCACGACTTCAAATAGATAATGCGTAAATGCAATCAAACAAAATATATTTTATTGAATTTCTTCTTCAGCAATCCAATTTAAATTCCAACACGAAAATGCATTTTTGTGGCTGCTTCCAATAGGCTAACACCGCAAATATTGAGAACAAATGTTGAATAAAGATGTAAAAATGTATTTGCACTCCTTAGTATATGAGCAAGACTACCGAGTGCTATAATATATATTTCCCACTTTCAGTGGGAAATCAGGGTATAATGGTTTTGTTGAAATGTATGTAACAAGCAGAAGGAGGCGTGGTAGACCCCACAAAGTATATATATTCTTGATCAGCGCGATCTGTCTGTCTGTCAGTATGTTTAAACGCGTGGATTTCAGAAGATATAGAAGCAAGAGATCTCAATTTTTGTTTTGCAAAATATCCGTGTATGCCACGCGAATATCGAATTTTGCTTCCCGTTATTTTGTTACCGATTAAAAACGATTATCGAAAATCAGTATTAAATGTATACCTACTACATCCTTAAAACTAGAGTCGCCCAATTTTAAATGTAGATTCATATGTTCTTTATGGAATTTCGATTTTTGTCACAATTTACCCCTCACTCCTATATTCACCCCCTCACCCTCACTTTTGTAAAAAGCGTATTTCAAATACTAGAGACTTGTGCTTTGGCAAATGCATGTATATCCATGGTATAATCATAACCTGGAAGTGAAAGGACATCCACAAGAAAACTTATTAAGCATTTAAGTTATCCCAGTAAACACACACTGCAGCGTTTATGCGTGGGTGCTTACGTGTGTGTATGTATGTGTGTGTCGTTTGTGTAAGCCGAAAGACTCTAAAAATGATTGAAATAGCTATTGCTCGAAGGGTTCAGGGGATCTCGTAGTCGAGCAGTCTCKACTAGAGCTTTCTTACTTGTTTAAATATTACTGTTTACATACATATATAATGAAACGAAATGGTACACCAACGAAATGGTACACCATCTATGGAACACTTGAAATTACTAATGTGTAACGTTAGTGCTATTATTTATTAATTATTTTTTTATTTAGGCTTAGCGCCTCGAATTTCAGTTATGTATAACAGATTTAGATCTAGCATAATTATTTTTTGATTTCCTATCATTGTTTCGTCCATCGTTTAAGCGCAACAAATCTAAAAATATCGACAGCTAAATCAATTTATCTATAAATGAACATCATCTACACCTATTGCTCCATTAAAAAAAAGTCAATCCATGGTAAAAGTCAATCCAATACAAAATGATGAATTATTAAATAGTAATTGAAATATTGGATACGTACATTCAAATTGCTTTTATGCCATTTGTTTTTCTTGATAGCGAATGGTCCTCCGAATGGTCGAGCGTGGCAAATGCATTGATGATGGTAACGAGATATTGGAATTGGACGGGTCTAATAATATTATTGTTTTTGTTGTTGTTGCTGTTGATGTTGCTCTTGCTGTGGCTGTAGCGGCTGGACGTGATATCGATGGCAAATGCGACAAGGAAGATCTCATTTTGATATAAATGCTCAACAAGGGATTTGTTTTCTAACTATAAACCGTTATAACTCGGAAATTGCACAATTAAATGTTAAATATAAAATGGGCTAAGAGTGTTCAACAAATGTGCCAATAAACGTAAACAATGAAAAGCAATTATAACAAGAGTGTTTCGGAGAGGCACGACAATGGCAAACAATCAAATTAAATGCTAAAAACAAGGCAAAGGACGAGCAACAGCTTCTGTTTCAGTCGCACTCGCCGGTTATATATGTGGTAAGGTATTAGTGATGGGTGTCTTTGCAGTCACCAGCACCGATGGACGCGGACTCTGATTTCGTTAGGTGTTTTTGTTGTTGCTGTTGATATTTATTGCGATTGTCTTTGAGAGCATTTTTCGTTGCACGACGGACGTATATTTTGCATTTAAATCACTGTGGTGCTGTGGCAGGAGTAGAAAATGTCTCGAGCAACTCCTCTGGCAACTCGCGGCCAGAGAGAACGCAATGAAAATCGTAATTTAAAGCATTTTTCATTTTCAGCTTCACATCCAAAGTAGCAGAAATATAAGTTGAAATTAACTAAAACATTGTTAAGGACTTCACACTTTCTTAATGCTTATGCCTTTCAGCTGCTGCGTTTTGTATTTTTTATTTATTTACTGGCGTGTTCGGTCTCTTTTTTGTGTATTTGTATTTATGTTGCCTCGGTCCTGCTGCTGCTGCTTGTGCTGCTGCTGCTTTTGTTGTTTAACTTCAATGGACGTTTAGTTGCTTGTTGGTTGGTTTTAAATTTGTAAATGTTTCAATCGCGTACACATCATCGTTGGTTTACTATTATTAACAATTTGCATTCAATGGCAAAACAAAATATATATTTATTATTGAGGCAACTTTTGTTTGTTAGCCACTTTGAGGTTAGAACAACAGAGTTGTGTTGCGTCTGGGTATGTTGCGTTATATCGATGAATCGATGTAGCGCACAGGCAAACATTCCGATAGTCTGGTAGCGCATTTTGGGAAACAGCAGTTTAAATTGACGATATATTGCATATTTTATAGCACTGTGCCACTGCTTTAGCAATAAAACAATTTATTTTACGTTATGTCTTAATACAAAAAGCAGATATCTAAAGTTCAGTTCGCTTTAAGGCTGTTTACAGCTACCAGTAATGTTCTGTAATTTAATTTTTTAAATTTAATTTTTAAAATTAAATTAACTTGTTAAACATTTTTACTCGATACCACTGGTCAGTGTCGATACTAAACGAATGTAGCAGAAGCTGTTAATGTTCTTCTTCATGTTCAGTTCGCTGTTAATCAGAAGCTGTGAAAACCACTCAAAAGTTGGAAAATAAACAGTGTTAGTAATAAAAAAAAAATACTTACAACACAATTATATTAATTAATTTAAACGCTGCAAAATGTCAGCTCATGATATAAAGTTGGAAGTATGTGTAGATTCAATAAAATCAGCATTTGCGGCTGAAGAAGGCGGCGCGGCTCGCATTGAACTTTGTGCTGCCCTACAAGAGGGTGGCCTAACACCCACCATTGGAACTTTGAAGACTCTCAAGGAATTACCGTTTACTTTGCCAATACATTGCATGCTGCGCCCGCGACGTGGCACCGATTTTGTCTACAGCGAGGAAGAGCTACGAGCGGTACTAACCGACATGGAATTACTGCGTTCCCATGGCGCTGATGGATTTGTCTTTGGCGCGCTTACTCCAGAGAGAACAATCGATGTGGACAAGTGTCGACGTGTAATGGAGCAGTCGTATGGTCTGCCTGTAACCTTTCATCGGGCCTTCGATCTCACCGACAACAAATATATGCACGAGAATGTCGAATTGCTAAAGGAACTGGGCTTCAAACGTGTGCTTAGCAGTGGCTTTCGTGCATCTGCTGCCGAAGGCGTTGAAGCCTTAGCACAGTTAATAGCAAAGCATCATCGTGACATGATTATAATGCCAGGGGCCGGCATTAAGGTGTCCAATCTGGAAGAGATTCTAACATTCAGTCGTTGCTTAGAATTTCATGCGTCTGCCCTAGACACAGCCAGCGAAGATTACAGCGCACCGACAACTACGCGCATGGAATGCGATGTAACCATGGGGAAACAGGACATCGATCCGTACTATGGCACGAACGCATACGTAGTGCGCAAAATGGTGGTAATTGCCAATGCTATGAGCTGCAGATAGAAGACTATTACATTTAAGTTAAATTAGTTTATGCTAATTATCTTTAGAATGTACATACAGATATGTCCAATAGTTTATTAAATAATCATAAGTTGCAACAAACATTTTATTCTATATAACATCCAGATGTACTAAAACTTTTTGAAATGGTAGTTGTATGAGCTATCGATATAGTACTATGTATTTATCGATGTGTATGTATAATAGAAATATCGATTTCTTTGAGAAACATTTGAATTTTATTTGTATTTAGAACATCATATTTGGTTAACTTACAAAAAATTTAAATTATTAAGCACTTAAATTAAAATCCATTGAAGCTCACCAGTCCTCGTAATGGATACGTTAGGCGATTATGCAATGCTCGTGGGCTTTGATCAGCAATTGGACTACGTGGAGCAAATGTTGCAAAAGGCCGACAAGTATAATATCAGACTTGTAACCCAGATCGACAATCTAAAGAATCTCGTGCAGGCCAATCAGAACATACTTCATAATTTGCAATCGAATGAGGCGCACATGAAAGCTTTACTGGAAGACAATCAGAAAGCAGAGCTGCATGCTAAAATGATTAGCTGTGCTAAACGTTTAAAAAGAAAGGTAATAAGTAAGCCAGCTTGCATTTATGTATATAATCTGCAGCAGAACGTCTTACATAAAAATGCAAATTCTTGGCTAACAACACGGATGAATATCTCATATCTCTTATTCAATATCATCGCCTATCTTGTGTTTTTCAAGTTTCTTGATTTCCTCTTTCTATATATTTCCTGTTCTCCCCTCCAACAAATTGCTTTATCCTTTATTATTTACCCAACATTTGACAACTCGGTCTACAGCTTCTCGTCACTGTATCCTTGTTAGATGAGCTTGAGGCCGAGGATAGCCCCATTGACTGTAAGGAGGATCAGGGTTCCGAGTCGAGCCTGTCACAGCAAATGAATGGACTGGGCCCATCTCTGGTTTCCATCGGAAATGAGTTAAAATCATTGAGCGAGGATAAACTGAATGAGATACGCGAAGCAAGTCTTCTGTCGCAGTCGTCTTGTAAGGGGTCCAGCAAAGAACGTCGTTGCTGGACCCATTGCAGGACCTTGAACCAGAATGATTTGCATGCTAAAGAGCTCATGGAGTTGCGTAAAGCAACTGAATTGTTGTTCCAAGCCTTTAATCAATCAAACTCAGTGACTGTGGAGATCATATATCGGAACCACATTATGGAAAGAGGTATTTTTCATATGATACAATTGAAATTTTAAATACTATTTTATTATATGTATATAGTTAAAAGTATGCTGGACAAAAGTGAGCGGTTAGATTTAAAATCCAAGATCCTTAATACAATCAAAATTCTGTCAAAAAAACTGCTAAGAGCCTTGATTAAACAAAAAGAATTACATCTTTCAAACGGTCTCATGAAAGTTTCAAATTAAATTTTCCCGATATGAAATTGAAAATCTAAACTGGTAAAAATTTTAGTTGCTAAAATAAATAAATAAAATATAATATACATATTTTATTTTCCATTCACTATACCGCTAATATTATATAATAATACCGCTAACTTTTCGCTGATCGAAATGACAATTAATCTGCATGAATATAATGTAAAAATGTATATGTAAATGCGCCAAAATAAAAATATAGTTTCGCAATAGTTTTCACCGACTTCTCGTGAAGTTACGTACTAGCTGATGGTAGTCATAATAGTGAGCTATCGAGTTGTGAGTAAACCATTTAACTTTCCATTTCGTCTGAGCAAATTTTGAAATCTTTTTCAATGTAGAATGGAAATTACAGGTATGATAGAAGTATTTTATTTTTTTTTTTTTTTACAATTTTTAATTCTAGAGAGACAAATAATATTCTCAATTAAATCATACATATTTTCGCACAAAATAAATTTGTACCATTTTTTTACAAATAGTTTAGCACGACATAAATATAAATTTTAATTTCGTACTACCGTCATATTACTACTTCTTATCCTTAGCTTGCAGTTTGGAGTTAATCATGTCCTTGAATTGTGTTAATATCTTATTCTCGCGCTTTTGTCGCTCCTCCTTGCTAAACATGGCCAAGGCACGTTTCTCATCTGCCGAATAAAGTTGATTTTCCTTGCGAATACGCACAGCTTCCATGCGACGATGCCGGCTACCGCTCATCACGTAACCCACCGATTCGAAATTGGCAATCTCATCCGATGTCAGGCCGATTTCTCCACGTCGTGGTATGCGCTTGCCTTCCGCGATGTAAGCAGCCATTGCAGCACCTTCACCCGGAAGCAGAGCTCGTCCAAAGTCCTTTTGATTCAGGCTGCCGCCAGAGCGTAAGGACGGACCCACGTCTTCCTCGTTCTTAGATCCATTCGCTTTTGACTTGGACTTTGATGAACTAGATGAAGTCTTCTTTTCGGACTCCGATTTCTTCTTCTTCTTTTTCTTTTTCTTGTTCTTTTTACTTGAGCTTTTTTTGGCTTTCTTTTTTGGCGGTTTTTTTATGCCGTCCGCTGTCTTTTCTAGCCAAAGTTCCTCCTCATCATCACTCTCTGAACTATCGTCATCGTCGCTTGAGCTATCTTCGCTGCTGGAACTTGATGAGGATGAGCTGGAGGAGGCTGAGTCAGATGAGCTACTGGAAGTGCCTCTGTTCTTTTTCTTCTTTTTGATTTTCTTTGCCTTCTTTTTTGACTTTTTGGATGATTTCTTATTTTTCTTTTTCTTCTTTTTGGGCCCCACATAGGAACCCTTAACTAATTCCACATCATGGGTGCTTGAACGCGTCGGACTTGTGCCCCAAACCTCTGGCACGCCTTCCTCGCCAATGCGTACACGTTGCGCGCGTCTCGCACTTAAAGCCTTTGAGTCCCTCGGATTACCGCCACCTCGGTGTGAATAATTTTTCCTACTAGGCCGCTCAGCCGGATCGTTTATGAAGCTACGTTCCGGTGCACGTCCTCGAAATGGATTGCTTTGCCTGTCGTTGTTTTCGTGATAGCGGTCGTTAGGCCAACGCTCAACAGACTCTTTTCTCTGTTTCACAGGACTTCGGCTACGGTTGCGATGGCGACTCCGACTACGTGAGGCGGATCTGTTTGAGCTGCTACTGCTACTAACGCTGCTTCCTGTGCTGCTGCTACTGCTCCCAGTACTCAATGAGCGGTCACGCTCGCTCTGTCGTCGTGGAGGCGAATCGCGTTGCTTCGAGCTGCGACGGTTTTGCCGCGAAGGAGACTTCTCATACCCATTTTTGTGCGGTCTATCTCGTTCTCTATTCTTAGATCCTGCCACCGGCTTGTAAGCTTCCCGCCTGTCGGTGCGCGTACGTGATTTGTCGTAGTCGTGTCGATCTCTTCGTGGACTCCGAGAGCGGCTTCTGGTGCGCGAGCGCATTTTTTTATTTCGTTATTTAATATTTGATTTTCTTTTACATGAAAATAAATGTCATGAAAACGTTTTGGTTTTATATGTTGATATCGTAATAAGTCATAGATGCTAGCAATCGAAATTCGATATTTAGACATGCACTTCGATTAGTAAACAAATATAGCTGGAATTCATATTTCATTCCGCCATTAGGCATTAAATAACAATAACGGAATGAGTAGTAATAAAACAGCTAATACATCAATTTAGAGTTTTTATTCAGCTTAAAAGAAAATGAAACATGTCGATATATTGTTTACAATAAAATCAAATTGAACATATCGATAGTGCAAAACATCTGAACAATGAATGTGACTGTGGGACAAATGTTAAAGTAGGCAGCAACGTTTACATCTGAATGGTGAATACTGGACTTCTTCTTGCTGTGTAGTGTGACGTGTACGCGTAGCGAAAAATCAGTGATTTTTCTTTATACAATTTCACAATTTAATTCGTTTTTTTTGACACGTTTCTAAAGTAAGCATCACAAGAATGGGTTCATTTCGTCGTGAGAAGGATGAGGAGGAGGATGGTAAGTAACTGCCAAACACCGAAATTGTACTAACAGCGACGCCGGAGCGCCAACAAAACATCAACTGCCAACTAATAATTGAAGAAGGTGCTCTGCTGGCAATCATAAAAACCGGAGCACAACAATATTAACACACCCATACATACACAAACAGACACTGAATAAACCCGAACAACACACTCTACACTCAATTGCTTTCAAGTTCTAATGATATTTATTGCCTACTGCCGGTTCGATAAAAACATAAAATGAAATATTTTATTTCGAATTCGCGAAACAAACGGAATACTACAGGTCCCACGAATGCGTACCAAAATCTGGAGAAGACCTCAGTGCTGCAGGAGACGCGTACATTTAATGAAACTCCAGTAAATGCACGCAAATGCATCCACATACTTACCAAGATCCTCTACCTGATTAATCAGGGCGAGCAGCTGGTAGCCAGAGAGGCAACTGATTGCTTCTTTGCCATGACCAAGCTGTTCCAGTCCAAAGATGTGGTGCTGCGCCGCATGGTCTATCTGGGCATCAAGGAGCTGAGCTCCATTGCCGAGGATGTGATCATTGTGACCAGCTCACTGACAAAGGACATGACCGGCAAAGAGGATCTATATCGTGCCGCTGCCATACGTGCCCTCTGTAGTATCACAGATCACACAATGCTCCAGGCCGTCGAGCGCTACATGAAGCAATGCATCGTGGACAAAAATGCGGCTGTTTCGTGTGCCGCTTTGGTTAGTTCGCTACGTCTGGCGAACACCGCCGGCGACGTTGTCAAACGCTGGGCAAACGAGGCTCAGGAAGCCCTAAACAGCGATAACATTATGGTACAGTATCATGCTTTGGGGCTGCTGTATCATATACGAAAATCGGATCGCCTGGCCGTCTCCAAGTTGGTTAACAAACTGACGCGTGGATCGCTCAAGAGTCCCTACGCAGTGTGCATGCTGGTAAGTGGGAATCTTTTATATTAGGTTACCCTTATTAAAATACTTGTTTACAGATACGCATTGCTTGCAAACTGATCGAGGAGGAGGACATACCTGCAGAAGAGCTGGCCGACTCACCTTTGTACACGTTTATCGAGTCCTGTCTGCGCCACAAGAGCGAAATGGTCATATATGAAGCGGCCCATGCCATTGTCAATATGAAGAACACAAATCCACGCATGCTCTCGCCAGCGTTCTCCATACTGCAACTGTTTTGCAGTTCGGTTAAGGCGACGCTTCGATTTGCTGCCGTTCGTACCCTAAACAAGGTGGCCATGACTCATCCGGCCGCTGTGACCACATGCAATTTGGATTTGGAGGGTCTGATTACCGACACGAATCGCTCGGTGGCTACGCTAGCCATTACTACTCTGTTGAAAACCGGCGCCGAATCCTCAGTGGAGCGTCTAATGAAGCAAATCTCAACATTTGTGGCGGAAATCTCCGATGAGTTCAAGGTGGTGGTGGTGCATGCTATTTGTGCCCTGTGCGCCAAATATCCACGTAAGCACACTGTGCTGATGAACTTCCTTAGTGGCATGCTGCGCGAAGAAGGCGGTCTGGAATACAAGACATCCATTGTGGACACCATTATAACGATCATCGAAGAGAATGTCGATGCCAAGGAGTCCGGTCTGTCGCATCTGTGCGAATTCATAGAAGATTGCGAGCACGTCTCGCTGGCCGTACGCATTCTACATTTGCTTGGCAAAGAGGGACCATTCGCGGCCACGCCCTCCAAATACATACGCTTCATATACAATCGCGTTATTCTGGAGAGTCCGATTGTACGCGCCGCTGCAGTGACTGCCCTGGCTCAGTTTGGTGCCTCGTGTCCCGCCCTGTTGTCTAACATTTTAGTGCTGCTTGGACGCTGTCAGATGGATTTAGATGATGAAGTACGCGATCGTGCCACATACTATCTAACTATACTTAACTCGGCCAAGCCGGAACTGTACAAGAACTACATAATCGAACGTGAGAATTGTTCGCTGGCGTTGCTAGAGAAGGCGCTGGCAGATCATCTGAATGGAGATCTGCAAAATCACTTCGACATTTCCATTGTGCCCAAGGCCGCGATCGTAAAGCCAGAGATCACCAATGATGTGATGATGGTAACAAGTGCACCGCGTGCACCTAAAATCACGCGAGAGGAGGAGAGTGCCGCACGTCTGGCTCAGCTACCGGGTATTCAGGTCTTGGGACCCATTCATCGAAGCACAGCACCAATACAATTAACTGAAAGCGAAACGGAGTATACAGTGCAGTGCATCAAGCACATCTTTGCTGAGTTTGTTGTATTACAATTTGATTGCCTTAATACGCTCGCCGAACAGTTTCTGGAGAATGTCCGTGTAGAACTGACAGTGCCCGAGGGCTTTATAATACGTAAGATAGTGCCCTGTCCAAAATTGGCCTACAACGAATTGCAGACAACATTCGTAATTGTCGAATTTCCGCGAGATGTCAGCAGTTCCATAGGTAAACTTAATCTAAAAGTTCTTGCGATTCAGTAGTAATTAATTTTGTGGCATTTTCTATTTCACTTTTGTAGCTACATTTGGCGCAACTTTACGGTTTGTGGTCAAGGATTGCGATCCTGTTACTGGAGAGCCCGACTCGGATGAGGGCTACGATGATGAGTACATGCTGGAGGACTTAGACATCACAGTCGCCGACCAAATACAGAAAACGAAGAAGAATAATTTCCAAGTGGCATGGGATGCTGCCGACAGTGAAGGTCTGCTTAAACTTATATATATACATCCCGTATTACTTAGAGACTCAAATTTATATGAATCATTGACATTTGCTTTTACAGAATGGGTCCAAGCCGAGGACACCTTTGTGCTATCTGCTGTGAACAATTTGCAGGATGCCGTGAATACCATTATCAAATTACTGGGTCTGGGCCCTGCAAATCTTTCCGAAAAAGTGCAAGAGGGCACGCATCTGCACACCGTACTCTGCTCGGGTATGCGATAGAGTCAGCATTGAGCATTGCCTTTTATATTAACTGTAATCCATCTCCTGCAGGCACCTTCCGTGGCGGCATCGAAGTGTTGGTGCGTGCCAAATTAGCTCTGTCCGAGGGTGTGACGCTAAATTTAACCGTGCGAAGCACAGATCAGGATGTGGCCGAGCTAATAACGGCAGCTATCGGATAAAATTGCGCACCATGCAGAGACCTAATCGTACAGCTGCGTACTCTGCATATATTATGATTATGAAACATATATTAAAAGCAAAGTTAATTGTAATCAAAAAATATATAATGTTATAGCTTTAAGCGATCGCCCTCCCTAAGACAATGTCAACTCGTCCAAAATTTGCTTGCACGAGCAGAAATTGGCCACAGTTGGAAATTGTTCTCAAGCCACAAAATAATTGCATCATTTTTTTGGGCATTTGTTGTGTGAGTTTCCCAAAAGCATAAACTCATCAAATCAATTTATATTTGTATTTGTTTATTAATGATTTAACCTATGCGTTTTTAGCTTAAGTATTCCAAAACTTAAATACATTAAAATATACGCAATAATAACTAAGGAATGGAGTAAACGAAACAAACTATTGTTTTTTATGTATGGATAATACGATCCGATATTTAAAACACTGAAGATTACGTGGAGTGGGTTTTGGAAGTGTGTAGCGTTCGAAATGGCTGATGGGTGGTTAACTCTTGGGTATATAAGCCAGGGAAATTGGTCAGTGAAATTCTATATAATTTAAAGCTGGTGTAAATATGATACAGAGATATGGCCTCATATTTTGATGCAACTGATCCCACAATAATATTTATTGAGAATCTGATTATCCCCTTTCCATAGTAAAAAGCATTCAAGTTTTCAACCTATTTTGTATGTATTTTTTGTTTTTTATTTAATTATAAATAACTTAAGTTGCAATTTATACAATTTCTCATTCAGAATTCACGCGTTAACTGTTAATGCTTAAATTAGTTCTGTTTTGCTGCATTCACTTAATAATTTCTTGTGCTTTCCTATTATTTTTATTTTGTTTGATTTTTTGTATTTTGCTTGATTTTATTTTAAATTTATTTATTTT